GAGAGAGAGAGAGAGAGAGAGAGAGAGAGAGAGAGAGAGAATACGGAAGCACGAGTGAATCGTTAAATTATATGGAAGTATTGGAAAATATTAGAAATATCGGAAATCTAAAGCCACCTCATATCCGTAACTTACGTCAGAGCTCTTCCGTAAACTATCAAATGCTTCTTTTTTCGCCTTTTCGAAAATAAAAGTACAATAATTTTCGCCAAGTCTGTCGAATGTATCTTCTATCCGGTTCGTGCAGTCGGAAAAATGAACGACATCAGTCGATAATTTAATAGATATTTATTTCGATCATAAATCACGGCGCCATACTGCTATCCATGTTTCTTCGGGGAAAAGGACACACGACGTGCTAAAGGAAAAGCGATAGGAAGGAGGAACTGTGTTGTCGTTCCGGTAACTCGAAACACGTTTGTTACATCAATTTGTGTCGCGAATGTTTTGATACTCCCCCTACCGATCAGTGTTACAGTCACTCACAAAAAGAAAGAACGGCGATGGAACCTAATGCTGTAAAAATATTTGCCAAACGGAGACATACACAAGAAATATTCCTAATGTTTTTGAAGGTCAAACGAAATAGATCGTAATACTTCTAACGGTAAAAGTACAAAGAAGAGAGTATTGTCCTTCACATTCCTTTTAGATTTAATTAGTCGTACTAGATATGCATCTGTTCATTAATTGCGATGACTATTAACAAACTTAAAGATGCGTGCGAGTTTAAGATGATCTGCGAAATAATGCGATTCCTTGAGTTCACCTTTGAACAAGATAGGCTTATTTCATTTCAAAGACTCTGTAGCGAGCAAAGTTTTAAGAGTGACATCTAATGAAGACAATACGAAAATCGGAAAGACAGGCTCAAACGTTAAAGCTTGCACTAAGCGAGCGTTTGTCGCGAGTCATGAAACAGGAGATCGCTTAAATCCTTTTTTATGATTATTATTATTAAAGTTCAATTTAATCAGCGCCCCGGGACAAATGCTGTCACACGCAAATCATAGGTTAATATATGTAAAATCATAAAAAAATTTAAGAAATACAGAGAGACTTATGGAACGCGTAAGAAAAAGCAACCAAAACCCAAAATACAAAAGAGATTAAAGAAGGTCTCGGATGAATAGATGATTACAACACGAGTTCTTGGATTTGCAGAAACTCGAGCGTTTCTCTTATTTTTATCTCTGTCCAAAAGTTACCCACATTAATACGCTCTTTAAATATTTTATATGGCACGACCTTTCCGATTGTCGGATCGTTAAAGGGATGCCGGAACGAACGACGAATTTGATAAGTGTCGATAACATAAAACGATTATCAAAAAGTAAAAAACGTTATCATCATTTACCGACGATATCGAATTTATGTACACATAAATACTTATGGAATAAAGATGATCGTCAAATAAGCGCTAACATGATATTGCTATCATTTTTTTACAGATATTATGCAAGTGTGCTACGTTGTCATTTCAATTTTCTTACACATAGACGTTACGTAAATGTGAATGCCACGTTATCGATATTCGCATTCTCTCCAAAATAGGTTTTTGCTACTTTTCTGATGAATTCTTCAAACCGCATGTATACTAGATGCATCAAAGAAAAAGTTTTTAGAGAAGAGTGTTGTAGGCGTAAGCGTAGTTTGCGAATAGTTTTTTGAAAAATACGTTACCAATTATTTGAGTTTTCAATATAATTAGCAACGGTAATTTGAGATATCATTTGTATTTCGCACTGAACAATGTTACACTTTATTTTCGCATGTAACTTTATACAGGGTGTAACAAAAGTATCAGTACCCCTAAATAAATTTCCAGAATCGTATTTTCCGAGAAAATCATTCAGGGAAAAGTTGCATAGTTTTGACCTAGCGATTCGATGGTGACCTTGTCTTTGATCTCGAGGTCATTTTTCGAGGTCATTTCAAGGTCAACTTTTTTTTTTAAATGGAAACCCCCATTTTTTATTCCAGAATCGGAAAGAGCGGGAAAATTTACATTCAGGTATATATTTGATCCATGGTTCCAAGGGACCCTTCAAGGTCATTTCAAGCTCACATTATTTGAGCACAGTAATGAATCACGAGGCAGGTGGCTTGGTGAGAAACGTTTTAGACAAAAGATTTAAGGTTTTGACCAAGCGATTAGGTCACATCGGAAAACACATCGGTTCGAAACTCGGCTAAATGGTTTAGCGGAATCTCAAAACACTCGGGTCCGAATCTTGGCTTAATAATTTTGCGGGAAATCGAAATATTTTGGTTAAAGACTGGGCTTAATTATTTAATTTGTTGTCTTTATTTGTCGAAATTTAATTTGTCTTATCAACAACAAACGCGTATGCATAGGAGAACTTTTTCGAAAAGATATTATGTCGCATATAGTACGACATAACAAGTTATAAAGTATATTAATCAAATAGTATATAAAGCGTACATAGGGTATATATAAAATATATATAGAAAATAAAGAAAGCATATATAACATATACAGAGCATATAAATATGACATATTGAAATATATCAGTTTAATGTATTATCAAGAAATAATCCGACGAGAGAGAAGCCTGCCGAATCGAAATTTTAATTGGCCATTGATATGCAAGAATGATCCAATTAAAAAAATTATAAGATTTTATCAATGGATACTCCATTCACATCTTTTTAAAGCAAACAAAAAAATGCAAGCTTTATAGATGCTTGAAATGAATAAAGAAATAATTTTGTTTACTAGTTACGTCTTTTTGCACATTTTTCTAAGGATTGAGTCCGTACTCTTAAAGAAATGGAAATGCTTGACTCGTTGAACTATTGCGAAAATCTCAGAGCTAAATTCTTTGGTTGGATCATTCTTACGTAACTCCGGCGAATTGCAAATTCAAATTCTTACTTTACTTCCCGTCGGACCCAATGCGATTTACGTCTACGTGCATGCAATCTACGTAAAGTGACGCTTTGTGTCTACTATATGAGCGTCTAAATTGAGCACTCACCATTGCACGTTGTCCCACGGTGTCCAAGGTCCACCAGCCATCCTGTCGCTGCATTTGATAATGGTCCTCGTGTCCCACGTCGCCTGTAATTCATTCCCGACCGCAGTAATCTAACGGAGATTTCACGAAAAATCTTGTCTCTCTTGGGGGAACACTCTGAGTTGCGAATTGCGTATGAAATATCGCGAATTGCGTCTTCAAGGAAATGTCAGCCTTTCGGATAAACGACGCGTATGTGCGACGAATTTAGTAACGGTCCGATCGAGTTGTAGTATATCGCTTTGATACACGTGCGACGCGAATCGCTTACGAAGAAAACGGAATCCGCGAGCGAAGGAAACACGCGACGCGAATCGAAGGCCGATCTCGCAAAATCTTTCGACGAAGTAATCTGTGCGAAATTCTTACGTACGACACGAAATATCCCTAATGTAACATTTCGATGATGCAGCGTAATAGGCTGCAATAGAGCTCCGCAATACTTTTGGTAAGACAATTTCGTAATATTTTTGCGGATAACAGTTCCGCAATACTCTTGCGAAAACAATTTTGCAATATTTTTGCGGATAACAACTCCGCAATATTTCTGTAAAGTTTGCGACTCTTCCGCAAATACAATCTGATGAAATTCGCAAACCTATCAAATTAATAATCGCGAACGCGAGTGAATGAAAAATCAAAAACTGTTGTGACGATAGAGATAAAGATTCTATTCAAAATTTACGCGAAAAAATGTTACCGCGTGAGACGTCTGTTTTCGTTCGATGGAACTTGTCGTGCGCCGCGTAAGTAAATAAACAACTCCTCGCATGTCTGACTTGTGTACATCACGTTTTTCGCGACGGATCAACGCTCGCATTCTCTCTATTGTGTCCCGTGTTAGGAAACTATAACTCTAAGTGAAAAAATGAAACCTGAAAATTTTCCGACGATCGTGAAATTAATTTTCTGAGTAGTTTATATAATTACGTTAGATCGCTTCGCGGCAAATGCTGCACGATATCGAATTTTACTTAACAAAGCACGAACTCTACTTTATAAAATACAATCGCAATTCAAGTTTACGTGAGAGAAAAAATTGAAAAAATTAACGATCGGCGGAAGATCTATGACGCGGGTGATGTGATTGCGCTTTTTTTGTAGCGCAATCTCTGTGGCGCAATTTCTTTGCGCGTTGGCGCACTGCTTGAGACACCTGGAAGATCACATTCAATAAAACTGAATAATTTTACAAAATTTTGAATGTTCAGAGCGTATACTCAATACTTTAAGCACATACCAGATAGTATTGGGATTTGATTAATCAAAATTTCTTCCGATAAAAATCGTCGACCAATCAATAATCTAAATTAATCAATTAATAAGTATATACATTGGGAGAAAACTACTTGAAAATTTATTTGCCAAATTTATGTAGAATATGCATCACTAAATTATTCTTTGAAAAAGCGATCTTCCAAATGTTTCGAGCAGGGTGTTTTTTATTGGACCGCATATACGTATGCTACAACTACAGCAAAGTAAATCGCATTGATTCGATAAGCATGCACTACATCGAAAGACTTTTTGTCTTTCTATTATCAATATGTTTCTTGTTTTGACTCACCAAATCGCCAATCAGGGTAGCCACATTCTGCTTTCGTTTCTGAAACAAAAAATGCCATTTCACTGATTAGATTCGTACATTGATGATGATTTGAGTGAAGATGTTTGAAGGATTAAAGAAAAATAAACGCGATATTTTTCACGCTGGAAGAATTTTTCGGAATACATTCACACTTGGAATATTCTGTCTTCTTTTTTGTCGACATTAATAAATCTCTTAATCAGAACAAATAAAAATTTTTCAAGTAGTAATGTTACTCAGAAAAAATTCTCCTCGCGTGTAATTACGATTTAATGTGATCTTTGATTCGATTTAAATTATCTCGATTTCAAGCAAGAGAATTATCAATCTTGTCAGATTTCTAATTACAAACGTTAATTAATGAAACTCACCTTCGAGCTAACCCCATTCGGCCCGAGCCAGATCCTCCGGCACAACAGCCCCTAAGAATCGGCTAGTCGCCTATTTCGCCTCTGCAACAGAAAGCAGATTTAATTTAGTATCACACATGACAATGGAGGTATCAAGGAACTCGATTTCACACAAAAGAATTTCCAGTTTTATCGGATTCATCGGAATTCTGAATTCAAATTAGTGAAACTCACCTTCGCGTCAACTCTGCCAGGCTCGAGCCGAATCCTCCGGTGTAGCATCCTCTTAGAGTCGAGTGCTTGTCTCTTCAACAAAAAACAGATTTGAGTATTAATTAGTTACACAACGATGGATGCATTAAGGAATTCGATTCCAAACAAGAAAATTTTCAGTTTCGGATTTCTAATTATAAATACAAATTAGTATGAAGCTCACCTTCAAGCCAACTCAGACAGATCCGAACCGAATTCTTTGACGCGGTATCCCCCAGCTATCGCATGCCCTAGAGCTGCGTGACTGCTCTATTGGATCTCTGTGACAGAAATTTAATTTGATTTAGTAATTTAATAATTTAGTATCAATTAATTACACACGACAGCAAGACGAGGTAAAGAAAATCGTTGTAACGGCACGCTCGAGTTGCTTCCCAATTTGCAATAAAAATAATTAAGTGACAACCGAATAAAGAAGTAATAATATTCGAATAATAAATGGATGATGATAATATTTGGTCAGCATTAAGGAACACGATCGCGACGTTTCTCTATCTAACAAGTAAAAAAGTAAATAAAACGCGGTAATTACCCGCTGTGGTAAAGTCCACAACATCTGCTCGCGTGATAAGTACGAGTCTCAAATCGTATTAATCATTGCCTCAATTGTGGCCAAGTCAAAATGCGGTATTAAAAATCGGCGCGAAATAATTTAGAAAATAATGCGGCAGCTCCCGCGATGCGCTCGCTACGGCGGCTGATAGCGTTATGGCGTGACGCGCGCCTGGCCGCGCCCCTCCCCCCTCCCCCCCTCCTCAATCTTCGCTCAGTCAACGGCCCGAGCGGCTGTTACGACGGTTAACATTGTGGAGTCTAGAGTTTTTGTTATAGAGCCGTTACCCAGGCATTGTTATTACCAATTATTCGATCATCATTATTTCTTTATTATCCACTCGCGGATATTATCACATGATTGTCGAGATATTATTATCACTACTATTTAATATTTGAGTATTATTACTTTTTTATTCGATTATTATTTAATTTATTCGGTTATTATTTTATTATTGCTATTACGCGTAGGAAAGCAACTCGGGCGTGCCGTTACGACGATTTCTTTGTCTTTGTTCAGTTAATATCGTCGTTGCGATAAATAGTTACGTGGGCTCTGAGGAAACTATATATATACAGGGTGGCGTATATATATAGTAAAGTGTTATAAGCTAATAACCCTAAACATATTTGTCCTATCAAAAAGTTGTTCATGAGAAAGTTTCATATATTTGAGGGGCCTTTCTAATTACGTAAACAAAAATCCACTTTCGTCCCTCTTTGAAGAGGGGCGGGGGATAACTTCAAAGTTTTAAATGGGATCCCCTATACAATGTTACATATTTGGATTCTAGGGTAAAAAACAAGTAAACTTTGTTTGAAACATTTCTTTGTGGAAAATGTTCCTATAAAAAGTTATAAACATTTAAACTTTTAGCAATTTATGATGAACTCTATTGACACAAAGTTGTGTTCGCGATACAACAAAAACGACCTTATTTTTTATAGAGGTATATCAAAGAGGACTCAACCACTTCCGACGAAAGAAAACTTAAAACGAAGAGTACGTACAGCTTGTACTAAGGTGACTCCAGAAATGTTGTTTAGAGTTAGACAAAGTTTTGTAAAAAGAATTAATAAGTGTTGAGATGTTAATGGTCAACAGTTCGAACATATAATAAAATAAAACAAAACAGAAAAACTATGAGTCTTATTTAATTTATCATTAATTTCAATGCACTCTACATTAAAGTTTAAATGTTTATAACTTTTGATAGGAGCATTTTCCAAAGAAATGATTCAGATAAAGTTTACTTGTTTTTTCCCGTAGAATCCAAATATGTAACATTGTATAGGGAGTCCCGTTTGAAACCCCTCTTCCCCCTCTTCAAGGGGGGACGGAAGTGGATTTTTGTTTACGTAGTTAGAAACGCCCCTCGGATATATGAAACTTTCTCATAAAAAACTTTTTGATAGGACAAATATGTTTAGAGTTATTAACTTGTAACACTTTACGTGGGCCACCCTGTACACACACACACATACAAACACACACACACACACACTAAATATTCGGACGTTGTGAAAAGTGAGGTTGATAAAAGTACGGTGTTATCTCAAAAAATATCCGTGAACTAATTTTTCGCTCTACTTTATCATAGTTATCGCAAAACCTAACCGCATGTAATCATAAACTTTTCTGCAAACTTTTCGTATCTTTTTTGGCATCAAAACTAAATTCTGAAAGTGTAGTAGTGATCTTTGAAATTTTCCTGATTAGAGCATCCACAGTTTCAGTATGTACAACCTGCAGAATGTTTGTATTAAACAAATATTGCATTAACTGACAGCTCAAAATTTAAATTTAAACATATTGTTTTCGTTTTCGTCATATATTGAGCAATGCTCAATTAATTTTTGCATGCACTTTTGTTGTGTAAAAGTGTTTATAATTCTGTGCAAGCAATAAGAAACTTTGCAAAAAAAATCAATGTTAGGTCGGTAAAGTTTTCATGTCCGGCATCCCCTTAAGTAGACCAAACTCGTTTGTTTCACGGCAATGAGTACCTCTAGAAATCGAATCACGGCGGCTTATTCTTTCTTGGCATAATCTGAGCGACTTGTTTCCATCTACCACGACCACCCACACACGCATACACATATGTACGAGAGAGCGCGCGCGACGGGACGAGAATATAAGCGCAATATAAAGCATAGAGCAAAATGAGTTATATTTCCCCGCTTTGGGTCTGTACACATGATAAATGATGCTAATAATCGTGGCGTGAAAACGTGTTGCACTTTGTCCCGACCGTACGCGAGAGAAATTCGGGCAGTGACGTCTTCGTTTTCTAATCCTGTTGGATATTTGCGAAAATGAGGACACTTGTGAGTCCTGGATATGAACAGATATTTTTAGCCGTTCATTTCCGAATCCAAGTGAATTATTCGCGAGGAAGAGAGAGAGAGAGAGAGAGA